TCCTCATGAGTTTTATTTCTTGTTCTCCAACATTTTAACTTTGGTTTAAGCTTTCGAAAATGGATAAAGATTTTATATACAAACATTTCTTCTTCTGTTATAGTTAATCAGCATATTTCTACACCATTTCAAGTAACCAGGTCTGTAAGACAGGGGTGTAGTCTTTCCCCATTATTATATATTTTAGTTTTAGAACCATTTTTACTCAAAGTCCGAAATGACCCTCGTGTAGTGGGCATTGCTATACCTGGCTCCCCTTCAACTTCTGTCAAACTTTCTGCTTATGCTGATGATACGTCTTTTATTTGTACTTCAGATGCCTCTATCCAGAGAGTATTTAACATCTGTTTACTTTACGGTAGAGCATCTGGTGCAAAATTAAATTTGTCTAATTCCAAAGGTTTATTTTTTGGTAAATGGGCCAGTCGATCAGACCATCCTTTCGGCATAAGCTGGATACTTGGCAGTAAGTTGCTGGGGATCCCTTTTGGAAAAAGTGAGGTTTATTGGAGATCTTTATATACAAAAATTGCTACTTCCTTAAATTTATTTAGTAATAGGCCCTTATCTGTGTTTGGTAGATCTATCGTCTGTAATGTTGTAGCTTTATCTAAACTCTGGTACGTTGGCTCTGTTTTAGTTCCTCCTCGTATTTTTTTTTATTAAAGTGCAGCGTCTCTGTTTTAACTTTATATGGCCTTCCAAAAATGAACCTGTAAGGAGAAATGTTATGTACTCCAGTGTATCACAGGGTGGGACTGGTATCATACACATTTCATCTAAACTAAAATCCTTACGTGTTATGCATATCATTAATGGTATTTCAAACCGTAATGCTAAATGGGTCTTGTGGTTCTGGCTTGGTCTGCAGCTAAGAGAATTTAATCCTTCCTTTAAATCCAATTTACAAATTCATGGGTTTCATTTACCTCCTTTTTATAAGTCACGTTATTCTGATTTTCTGTCATAAAGATGACAGACATCCAAGACTCTCTTGATGGATGAGTCTGTAGTGCAGATCAGAGTAGTGTCATCTGCATAAACAGAAGATTTAGCAACAACTGTAGACCCGGGTATACCGACCCCAACTACTTGTGGGTCCTTACGTATTTTAATAATAAAAGGCTCTAAAACCAAAATATAAAGTAAAGGTGAAAGGCTGCAGCCCTGACGGACTGAGCGAGTTACGGGGAATGGTGGTGAAATATGCTGATTTACTATGACTGAAGATGATATGTGAGAATATAAAATTTGAATCCATTTAGTGAAGTTATTACCAAAGTTAAAGGATTTAAGTAGTAAGAGAAGGCAGATCCTCCAAGAATGAATTAGCAACTGCAAGGTCAATTGTATCTTTTTTAAAAAGATTCGAATAAAAAGAAACAAAGGACTGGATGATCGTGCTGTTGGTGGTACAAGAAATGTCTCCATCCTGAATCCATGTAATGGTTTTCTTGGCAGCACGATCATGCTCCTTTCTGAGGAAAACCCTCAAAGGGTTTTCCCAATTCTCGATCAACTCAGCTTTGGACCGAACACGAGCACCGTCAATCCTCGCGTCTTCCAAACAACGGATCTGTTGTTTCACCTCGGACAGACGCGAAGAAAGACTAACTGGAGCAGCAAGCTCGTGCTCGGCCAATGATCTGTATTCTCTTTTTAACGTAATGATTTCCTTATCTTTTTCATACTTATTCTTCTGCTGAAATTCCTTACAGAAGGCTTGAATTTTAATTTTGAAAATATCCCAATTATTTAAAGAGAGGTCTTGTAGCAAATAGTTGAAAGTATTGAAAAAGGATTTAAAATCTCGGATGAAAGTACTGCTGTTGACACTAGAGCAATTACTTTTCCAGTAGCCCCTACCTAATGAAATGTTGTGGTTCAATGTAAGATTAAAGGAAATGCAATGATGATCGGTGAAAATTAGAGGATGGTTCTCAAAAGAATGGGTATACTGTACGTATTTTGATTTAATGTAAAAACGATCTAAGCGTTCATTTACTGTTGTCTCAGATTCCGAAGAAGTGCGTTTCTTCGCACTCTGTTTAGGGGTATAAAACCCATCCTCGTCCACCCTCCTCTCGTAAAGCTTAACGTGAGTAGGAGGGGGAGGAGGCGGAGGTGGAAGATTAGACCTAGGTAGGGCTGAAGCTGATACGAAACCAGTTTTAACGGCATTATTAGATGGTGGAGCTTTATGCAGTACCCCGGCATATGAGGAGGAAGCACTTTTGGTCAAAGGGCATTCCTTCCTCATATGACCTGGCTGGAAGCACTTTAAACAGATGGGTGCCCGACCTTGAAGAATGATAAGTACATCCTTCCCGCATACAGACGATGTATGCGGGAGAGAATCGAAAGAATTGGGCTTCCCTTCCAAAAGGACCCGCCTGGTAAGTGTACGAATATGCTTTAAGCCTTCGTGGCCGTAAAACTCCCGAGTAACTGAAGTTACTTTCAAATTGAAAGATGTAAAGAAATTCCCTATATCAGAGTCAGATACATATTCGGGTAACCAAAACAACCTTGCTACTAATTTACTTTTATCATTTCCAGATTTCGGCCTTTTGGCTAAGATCAAAGTGTAGTATCTGTTCTTATTACGCTTGGGTTTTTGCTAAAAATTTTGAGTACAAGTATCCGGCATTATGCGCAGCGAGAACGGCTCAAATTAACGCCACAAGAGGGAATCGAGCCAAAGATCTTCATTGCCTTCTCTCATTCTTGTTCCGGTTGTTAGGGTCGGGCACGGATTGCTTCGACGGCCCGTTTAGTCCACCTAGGGCCCCTTAAGGTTTTTTTAGGGCTGAGGCTATCCTCAGTAAGTCCTTTATTCAGATGGATAAACGGGATATCCAAAGACGTACTTTGAGTTTTACTCTGTCCGAGGGGAATCAATTCATCTATGGACATGAGTTTGTGTCTTTCTTGAATGAGAAAGGTTTTGATCCCAAGCTGATCAAGTCAATGGGTTCTGGAAGGTCGTCCAAAACCTTTCACGTAACCTTTTCTTCTGAGGCACCTGTTTTGGAAATTCTTGGGAATAACGCAACTGCTGTTATCGGTAGGAATGTCTACACTTTATCTGGCTGTGACAGTTCTAACTGACTAGACGTGTTTTGCTTGGGGGTAAATCCTCTTATTTCGATTTGTTGCCTCATACATCTTCGGTTCTTGGTAAAGATGTTTTGATTATTTTGCAGGGTAGATCTCATATCTATCTAAAGTGCTTTCAACCCGGACATATGCGGAAGGAATGTCCCATGTCTAGGTTTAATCCTGTTTCCACTTATGCTCATATTCTGAATAAAGCTCCCCAATCAAATTCCTTCAAAACTAATGGTTTTGTGCCAGCTTCGGCTGTTGCTAAGCCTCCACATCCTCCCCCACCACCACCTCCTATTACTGGCAAAGTGCCTTCCAATCGGGTCGACGAGGATGGTTTTTTCACTCCCAAACAGAATGCTAAAAAGCGAACAGTTTCGCAGTCTAATATCAGCTCTGTCAGTAGTGATTCCGAGTCCAATATTATTTCGAAAAAAATTTGCTGCTCAACCCTCTTCTCCTTTGAAATCTAAAACTAGTCACGAATCTAGTAAATTTCAATCAGTTGCTGCTGGAGCTAATTCTCATAAAACCAAGCCTCAGCGCGCTTCAAGTTTGAATGATACATCCGTTGCAAACCGAAAAGTTTGCGGCATGGTTGTGGAGTGTATTGACCCCACTATCGTTAGTAAAGAAGAAGACATGTCAGTCTTCGACTTTGATTCGTCAGAAGATGCCATAATAAATATGGCTGATACAGAGAAGTTAGACAGCGAGCTAGTTATGTGTGGAGGGGATATTTCTGGTCGGTCCACCGACGGAGATATTGTCGATTCCACTGATGACTCCTCGGTTGAAGCGGACCTTGCTACTTGATAGTGTTAGGATACTTTGTTTTTTTAAAAAAAAAACACTTATATATGGGACTAAAGATTGCTTCCATAAATTGCAACGGTCTGTTAGGACCCAATAAAATTCATTATTTGAATAACTTTTTATCTTTGGAACTTTTTGATATTATTTTCTTACAAGAGACTCACGTCTCAAGCATTCGCATTGCTAGACACTTTGAATTTATTCTGCAACATAAATGTTTTTGGTCCTTTGGATCTAATAGGAGTTCTGGGGCGGCCATCCTCCTTAGATCATCTTTGGATTATGCTGTGGATAGCTTTCACTTTGATCTTGATGGTCGTTTAGTCGTTTTAGATGTCAACGTAAATGGCCGTCCAGTGCGCTTTGTAAATATTTATTGCCCCAATAAACCATCAGAAAAAAATGATTTTATTTTTTGCCTTGAAAAGTATCCGGCTTTATGCGTTTGTGAGAACGACTCAATTTATCGCCACTAGTGGGAATCGAGCTCTAGTATTTTTTGTTTTTTGTTTTTTTTTCCTTTCCTGTTCCGGTGGTTAGGGTCGGGCTTCGGCTTCGACGACCCGCTAAGTCCACCTAGGGCTCGTTTAAGGGATTTTTGGTAGTTTTTGTCTCCCCTGCCTTTTTGTCATGGACAAGACTAGTGTCCAGAGGCGGACCCTGGTTTTTTCCCAGGTGTCCGGGGGCAAATTTTTATATGGCCATGATTATGTGGCTTTTTTGCAGGAGAGGGGGGTAGACCCAAAGTCAATAGTGTCCATGGGCTCGGGTCGATCCTCTCGATCTTTTCACGTGACTTTCGAGTCGGAGGTCACAGTATCTGATATGCTAGCAAAGGGGTCTGTCGCGGAGATTGGCAATAATTCCTATTCCCTTTCTGGTTGCGACAGAACCCGTCTGGTAGCTAGATTATTCTGGCTACCAGAATATGTCTCAGATTTCGACATTGAAAAGTTTTTTAGGTCCTTTGGATGTAAAGTGCTGTCAACTAATAGGGAATTTTACTTCCATGAGGGTCTTAAGCACATCAGGACCCTCACTGGGAGAGTTTTGCTAGAAGGGAAACCTTCTGCTTTTGATTCTTTCCCACATACCTCTTCGGTATGCGGTAGAGACACCCTCATCATTTTACAGGGCAGGGCCCCTATTTGCCTTAAGTGTTTCAGGCCCGGGCATATGAGGAAGGAGTGCCATATGTCATCCATGGCTACGACTTCCTCATATGCTAACATAGTTAGCAATGTTCCGAGGTCTGTTGCCAATAGTACTAGTACTGTCAACAAGAAAACAGACTTTGTACCTGCTACCACTTTATTATCTACAAATAACAGAGTGGATGATGAAGGTTTTTTTGCACCCAAAAATAGCGCAAAGAAGCGGTCATCATCCGAATAAGAAAATGTTTTTAATGCTATTGCTAACTCTTCCTCTTTGAGTTCTCGAACCAAAAAAGTTGCTTTACAGCCACCATCACCACCACCTAGAAAAGAAAAAAAGAAATCAAATATTAATAATAATAATAGTAATAATAATAAAAATAATAATAATAACAACAATAATAAATTAAAGTCTGCTGCTGGGCTAACACCCCTTCAGCAATTCCTATTATTACTCCTGAAGTAAAACAAGGCAAAATATCTTTATGTAAAGAACCCCCTCAGGACAGGGAATCCACTGCGACCCTGGCGGAATCCATGGACGCCATTGAAAACATCGCAGATACCCAGCTTCTTAACGAGATGCTGGGTAGCATGACTCCCTGTCGATCCACCGACGGGGAGGGTTTCGGTTCGGAGGAGGAATGAAACAGTTTTGGTAATAAGATCTATATGTTTATTGTGAAGATTTTTAAAACATGTGGGGATTGTCCCCAACAACAGAAGGAATAGAAACGATATCCAGTAAAAGTACCTGATATATAAATTTAGTTGTTAATTTTTTAAAATCTACATTTATGTTATTCCTATGGGCTATATTTAAGAATTCTAAAAAATTGGAATAACAATATTGATAAAATTTAGGCATATAAAAAGCATGAGGTTGAAGATTAGAAAATAATGAAAAATTGTATTCTCTTAATTGCAGGCCAAGCCAGAACTTAAACCATGAAAACCATTTGACATCCCTACCTAAAATACCATTAACAACGTGCATTATACGAATAGATTTTAATTTAGAAGAGATGTGAATGATTCCAGAACCACCATGAAGCTTACTGGAATACATTACATCCCTTCTTACCGGTTCATTTTTTGATGTAATTAAAACAGAGACGTGGAACTTTATCTATAAAATTAACTGGAGTATAATGGAGCACACATACCACAATTTGGACAATGCCATTACGTTACAAATGGTCGATCTGCCGAAAACAGAAAGTGATCTATATTAATATAAGTTTAACGACTTTTCTATTTTATTAAAAACATTATCCCAAAAGGATGGCACATTACCAAAAGGGATCCCCATCAACTTACTGCCATTAATCCAGCTTATGCCGAAAGGATGGTCCGATCGGCTAGCCCATTTACCAAAGAAGATACCTTTAGACTTGGATAAATTAAGTTTGGCTCCAGATGTCAAAAACTCTCTGGATAGAAGCATCTGAAGCACAAATTATAGTCGTGTCATCGGCATAAGCTGATAATTTGGCAGAGATTGATGAGGAGCCTGGAATGGTGATGCCCACCACTCGAGGGTCATTCCGTACTTTAATTAGGAATGGCTCCAAAGCTAACACATATAGAAGAGGAGAGAGACTGCAGCCTTGTCTTACAGATCTTGTGACTGGAAATGGATTGGAGATATGCTGATTCACAATGACAGACGAATAAATATTACTATATAAAATTTTAATCCATTTTCTGAAATTACTACCAAAATGAAAATGTTCTAAGCATGAAAAAAGAAACTCATGCGAAACGCGATCAAAGGCTTTCTCCAGGTCCAGACAGACGAAAGCACAAGGTAAATTTCTCTCCTGAACATAGTCCACCACAGATCTCAACAGGTGACCATTGTCCAAGATTATCTGCCTGGAACATAACAAGTCTGATCCAGGCCAATGATGTCCTCCAAAACACTACCAAGACGGGTAGCTAAAACTTTGGACAAAATCTTATAATCTATGTTCAGGAGAGAGATAGGTCGCCAATTCTTGACGCTCTCGGGATGTTCTAAATTTTTGCAAATAAGAGTAATGTAAGACAGGCTTTGAGACGGAGATAATGAATTGGATTTAAAAATTAGTTGTAAAGATGAAAAAGAAC